TCACATAAATGCTTATTCATTCAAACAACGACAATAATAGGTTAAATCTACATTAGGTGGGTTAGTTCTATTTTACGAAAGATTAGTCAACTGGGTTGGCTTCGGTTTGTTGCTTACTTGGTAAAATACGGTTTACTTACATTCAACGCAAAAGACACTGTGGTCAGTCTACTGACTGACCAACACCGACATTTCGTCCCGTGCCTCGAAGCACTTCTTCAAGGAAGGTTGATGGTGAAGTTTTGTGAATGTGGTTGGTCACACACAGCAGTCGACAGTTTCTGAGCTAGAAGGCTTCCTGGTCAGTATTGGTCAGTCACCGGACTGACCACAGTATCTTTTGCGTTGTGTACATGTAAACCTTGATTTACATTATTTTTCATATCTGCTTGCCAATAAATTCTTAATTTTCCTTCACTCGCGCAGCGTACACACACAGTGCACATGAGTTGATACCCCAACAATGGGGCTCGCCTCTAGTTACGAACAATGGTCTGGCAGGCACAGGGGGTATTCATGTCGAACACATCATCAAGGGAACAACCGCTGCACAGCGTACATCTGTATCTTGCATAAATTGCTGAGGAGCCCGAAACGTTAGAACGTCGGCGACAGTACTAAAATTCAAATGGTGTTCGTTGTAAGCGACCACACGTGCGATTGGTAAGAAACGACTAACGAACGCTACAACAGTGACGAAACTGGGATGCCTATAGTTGCTCAGCCTGTAGTGTCTCTGGAATGCCTTTGTCACGGCTCACGTTTTCCAACAACGCAGCGAGATGGTTCCAGCGACACCCGAAGGTGATTTTGCCTGGAAGATTCTGTAGAGTGCGCCAGCGATTGGTGTGTCAGATACGAACGACTGAGACACTGTTCGAAAGAGCTCGTAGAATTGCCTGGGCTGCACAACGACTGATCGAAGTTCCTTATTCCCACAATGGCTACAGAGCTTCGCGGTACACCGACGGCTGAAAGTTCTCGCTGCTTTTTCATCGTCAGATGAGGTAACCCAGCAAGAATTCGCCAGCAACCACTTTGTCCATGGCTTGCGTTCAAATTCCGTGCGAGCCAGCGTTGTTAGAGGACACCGCAAAACTCTAGTGATGGCATTCGCTTTGGCTGTTCAGAAGGAACAGACTCAGGAAACAACCAGGCTCCATAACGGAGACATGGAGCTGCTGCAATGTCTGAGGTTGTCCTGTCAACCATCCG